AAAGGCAGAAAGCCCAGCCAGCAGCCAAACGAAGCCTCAAGCGGTGGTTCCCACAGCGCAGCAACCCAGCAAAGGGGATGCAGCAAGGAAAACCACCGTCACCTCTCCGCTGAGAAGCGCTGAGCAAAGGCGAGTCCCCAGGCAACGCGGCTCATTTGATCGGCACAAGGCATGCAAGCTCAACCCCCCAGTCGTTCTTAGACTCCTTATTGGGTGAGCAACACAGCCAAGCAACACAGTTGGAGCCTCCCTCCTCCCTGGCCGGCAGGGAGGGAGGGAGAGGAGCTGCTTCCTTTGAAACCCGGGAAATTTAAGGGGCACCATAAATAAGGGACAGCAGCGGGACACGGTGCTGGGATAAGGGAGTTTCCCGCCAAATAAGGGACGGTTGACAGCTATGGCAGGGGCACTGGATTGGCTCTGCCAGTGCATTTGCAATGCGCTGACCTCCACACCATGTCAACCTCCCCTTCTCCCTCTCGGTAAGCAACAGTGAGCCTCTGCCCTGGAAGGCAGCTCTTGTTCTCCCTCCCCCAACTCCATTTCATTGGCTGCCATTTGAGGTGAAACTTGCTGCGTAACAAGATTACCTTATGTGTGTTGCTTTATATTACTAGCTGGTAAGGATTGGGGAATCTGTTCAGTTTCTCTCCATTTCTTATTTCTTCACGCTTATGTTCAGTTTGCCCCATTTCTGCGTCACTTTCTAATTATGTTTAAGTCCACCTACAGAGAGAACTGTATGCATTTTTTGCGTACATTTCTTCCAATATGTATATGCACTTTTGCAAGCAGTTTCCCCAAATACAAGGCATTTTGAAAAAACATTAATTTCACCACTATATGCATTTTTGAGGCACATTTCGACCCAACATGACATTTTTACACACATTTTCTGGTTGGAGAACTGGATTGCAAAAGTTAGAGAAGTACGCATTTTGAAGGATGAGTTGCAGTTCGCCTATTGGTTTAGTGCAGGGATGTCCAACAGGTCGATCATGATCTACAGGTAGATCGCCGCGAGGTTTTGGTAGATCGTGGTCTATCTCTGGCTCCCTTTCTCTGTACTGCTGTTTTGATCCATAGCGATATTTTTGTGAGTGACTTTGCCCCTCCGCCCCCCTTTTTTTAAAAAAAAAACCTTTAAAAAATGGGGCTTTTCTCTTTCCTAAAAAAAAGCTCAACACTTTGAGCTGAACCACCCAAAAATGGGGGTAGATCACTGCCAGTTTTTAATTCTGAAAGTAGATCGCAGTCTCTTGAGAGTTGGCCACCCCTGGTTTAGTGAATTAGGTAAGTTTGCATTAAAATGCAAAACCAACAAATCCTTAGTGATTCGATGGTGCTAGTGGAGAGGGGAGATGATGATTCAGGTCTTCTGCTTTAGTCAGCAGACCTATGTGTACCATAACACATAGCTTTGGTGGACTGGGGCAATGCTGTTGTTGTTGTTTTATTCTTTTCATCACTGCTGGTGCTAAATGCTTTTAATTGCACCGTTAATTATGATACCCACAACCCAACCTAAATTCTGCCAACTGCTAAACAATAACTTACATAGCACAGAACACTGAAATTGAAACCAATGAAAAATGTGCTTCTACCTTGACAGGGACATTCTATTCTAAATCAGTATCACTGCTTGGGGGGTAAAGGTAAAGGTAAAGGGACCCCTGACCGTTAGGTCCAGTCGTGACCGACTCTGGGGTTGCGGCGCTCATCTCGCTTTATTGGCCGAGGGAGCTGGCGTACAGCTTCTGGGTCATGTGGCCAGCATGACTAAGCCGCTTCTGGCGAACCAGAGCAGCGCACGGAAACGCCGTTTACCTTCCCGCCAGAGCGGTACCTATTTATCTACTTGCACTTTGACGTGCTTTCGAACTGCTAGGTTGGCAAGAGCAGGGACCGAGCAACGGGAGCTCACCCCATCGCGGGGATTCAAGCCACCGACCTTCTGATCAGCAAATCCTAGGCTCTGTGGTTTAACCCACAGCGACACCCGCGTCCCTACTGCCGGGGGGGAGGGCCCCCTTTTTTTTTGCACTCTTAGATTTTTTATTAGTTTTTTCATGGTGCCTACAACACATACACACACCTGTCTGAAGCTCAGTTACTGTTGCTCCGGTGCCCCACCCGCAATCCCCATAACCTCCTTGATCCCCACTCAAACTCCAGCCAGCCACAGGCCTGCCTGAACCCTAGCAACTGCTTCGTCAAGGCAAGTCCTGCCCATGGAGCTCTCCATTTGTATTTTGCCTCTTTGAATAAAGAATCAACTTTAGCGCTCGCCTCTGAGTCTCTGTGCTGACCTGCAGCTGAACCAGCCCTGGCAGTGAGGGGTGCTTCTAAGCACCTGGGGCCCCTTTGACCAGGGCTCAGCTGTTTCTGGTGCTCAATAGATCTGCTAGGACAGCAGTTCTCAACCTGTGGGTCCCCAGATGTTGTTGGACTACAACTCCCATCATCCCTGAGCTCTGGCCTAGCTAGCTAAGGGTGATTGGAGCTGTAGTCCAACAACATCTGAGGACCCACAGGTTGAGAGCCACTGTGCCAGGAGGTCACAGGGGGTGGTCAATAAGGTGCGGCTTTGCAACGTTGAGTTTCTGGCAGGGATCTTTTCAAAGCACTTCCTGGAGATGCCAGTGATTGCAGATGGGACCTTCTGCATGCCAATCATGTGTCCCAGTGCTGAGCCGAAGCCCTTTCCCCTAGTCGGATGGGACTGCTTGAGCCTGCACTCATGCTGATTTAGTTATGTAAGCAACAAAGGACTTGTAACATCTCTTGTAAAGGTAAAGGGACCCCTGACCATTAGGTCCAGTCGTGGCCGACTCTGGGGCTGCGGCACTCATCTCGCTTTATTGGCCGAGGGAGCCGGCGTACAGCTTCCGGGTCATGTGGCCAGCATGACTAAGCCGCTTCTAGCGAACCAGAGCAGCACACGGAAACGCCATTTACCTTCCCGCCGGAGTGGTACCTATTTATCTACTTGCACTTTGACGTGCTTTCGAACTGCTAGGTGGGCAGGAGCTGGGACCGAGCAATGGGAGTTCACCCCGTCACGGGATTCAAACCGCTGACCTTCTGATTGGCAAGTCCTAGGCTCTGTGGTTTAACCCACAGCGCCACCCGCGTCCCTTAGCGTCTCTTGTACCCGACTGCTTTTGTCTGGCCAGCCCAACAACAGCCAGCGATATAATTAACTGAAAATGCAATCCCCGGCAAAGTCTATGCTGGTGGATGCTTAATACACATTCTCGCAGTTTGGGGGATAGGAGGCTGTTATTTGCAAACATTCCTGCTTTACAGAATGTGTGGTCGCCAGTCCCACTGCACATTTTTCATGCTCTGATTTCACAAGCTCTGGTTGCACAAGCCAGTTCATTAGGCACAGCCGTGATTATCTGCTACTCCTCCACTCATGGGTTTAAATTATTCCAAACAGCCAGCTTTGTTTCTCTGTTAAACACTGAAAATCTTTTCTCCCACAGTCCGTTTCTTGTGAGGAATTTCAACGACTCTGTCCCAGCCTTGTCTAATGTGGTGGCAATGTGTGTGTTTTTTCCAGGCTCCGATTCCTGACAGCTCCTAGCCTGCATGGCCAAGGATGATGGGAATTGTAGTCCCCACACCATGGAGAGGGCACCAGGTCGGGGGAAGGCTGCTGTGAGCCGAGAGAGATTTCTGCTTTTGAGAACTCCCCATTAGTTTTGTCCCGACAGATGAAGGGTTGACGGTACAAATTTCTCTTTCCCACATTCCAAGCTGATCCCCAGCACAATGAATGTGAAGGCGTTAGTTCAGGTGGTCAGCAAACTTTTTCAGCAGGGGTGCGGTCCACTGTCCCTCAGACCTTGTGGTGGGCCGGACTATATTTTTTGGGGGGAAAGAATGAACGAATTCCTATGCCCCACAAATAAGCCAAAGATGCATTTTAAATAAAAGCAAACATTCTACTCATATAAAAACACCAGGCAGGCCCCACAAATAACCCAGAGATGCATTTTAAATAAAAGGATGTATTCTATGCAAGTAAAAACACACTGATTCCCTTACCGTCCGCTGGCCGGATTTAGGAGGTGATTGGGCCAGATCCGGCCCCCAGGCCTTAGTTTGCCTACCCATGTGTTAGTTCCATTCTGTGAAATGGAGCTAAACTGATTTCAGTTCAAAAACCTTAGCTCCATTAGGCCACAGAATTGCGGTGACTTGGTCTGCTTATTCCGTTTCTCTCCCAGGAAACAGTTTGGGTGTGGCCATCCTAGAAATCACTTCTGAATTGCACAGCTTTGTAGCTGATCTTGCACAGTTCTTTTCTCTCATACATAAAGTAGCAGCTGTGTTGGTGGTTTAGCCAGCAACTGTAATCACTGCCTTATATGACAAATGGTTACCACATATTTATTTATTGTAAACAGAAATGCACTTATATTCTATATTAATAGAATGTCCTGAAATTAAATCTCATCTCTCTCTTTTTAGGTTTTTCCTGCAAATATTTTATTTTTCCATTGTTTATCATCTCCTTCCTGTTTCCCTTGCACCTCTGTTTCTCTGCCTGTATATCTCTCCTTTTTGATATTCTAAGTCTCTCCTCCCCAATGCTGCTTCATCTATTTGCACACCAACCCCTTAACTCAAAAATGGGGAACTTGTGGCCCCTCCAGACTACATCTCCCATAATCCCTGACCATCTGACAACATCTGCAGAGACATAAATCCCCTATCTCTTCCTTAATTATCCATGCACTGTTAATGGAATCAGTACTGGGTGATACATAGAATAAAGGGGAATGGTCATATCACTGAACCATTTATTTTTTTTAAGCTGCAGAAACAACAGAAAAAAAACAACTATAGCTTTTTATCTGGAAGTTCTGAAATATTTAGAAGATTCTAAGTGTTAACGGAAAAATTTGAGGGCTCCCTTGGACAAAAACAAAGACACCAACCAGGATAACTTGGAGCAAAACAGCAGCCTGTAGGCTTGGCCTTTATTGATCTGTTGCAACAGGGTGCTCCCCTCACCTGCAGGAGAGAGGAGGGACCCAGAAAAATGGTGTGCAAGGCCTTATAAAGACTTTTGAAATTGCCACCCTGTAGCTCAAGACCACCCCCAGAAACATCATACATACATCACAGAAGGGATGTAACCTAAGACCACCCCTCAGATACATCACACCTACATCACAGAAAGGAGGGGTTGAGGGAGGAGTTGTGGTGGTAACCTGAGTGTCCTGTCACCTGGCTGGTTCCCCCTTTCCCCCTCCCCATGAGTACTTTCCAGGTGACAGAGGGGAGTTTGCAGTTTCCTGCCCCCAGAGGGAAGAGCTGATTATTGTCCTTTGTTCCAGTCCGTGCTGAATCCACTCCCATATGCAAGTTCTTTGTGATCTTGATGGTCTTCTGTCTAGGACCATCAGGGTTGGCATAGCAACTGGGCAGGGCTCCTGTGTATGTGCTGGTATGCTCAAGGGATTATGGCTGCCCTGTATCAAACCTTCCCTATTTTGTAGTCCTTCCTTCATGGAGTAAAATAAAAGTGGAAGTGCAAATCCGATGTATGGTTGATTTTCTATGAATTTATAACAGAAGCGTAGTGTATGTAGTGTGTGAGTGTGTGTGAAGTTTGTACAAACTGAATGATTGGGGGGGGGGTTCCTGCGATAGCTGCCATCTGAGTATGTGACACACCGTTTATGAATATCCTGTATGTTTGACATCAGCAATTAGACATGAGAAACTGGCTAACAAGAACGCAGAGATTTGTTTAGCCAAATTGGTTAAAACTTGCTTACACTTCTTCAATTACAATCTAATGAACATTTTGGACAGCAAGTTAATTAGATTGCTCTTAATTATTTGCAGACTTAGTTAAAACACCCCTAGTTCTCTTTGAGTCAATGAAGGTAATTTGGAACACAGGAAGCTGACTTATTCCAAGTTTGGACCAGTGACCCAGCCTGACCAGTATTGTCTACTGGTAGCATTTCCAGTTTCCCCATTACCTTGTGCCTTAAAACTGGAAATTCCAGGGACTTCCGGGTCAGCGACATCGGTGAATAGCGGAGTTCCTCCGACCGGAGGAACTAGCTCCGTGGAAACTGGGTCTTCTCGCCGCGGCGAAGGTGGGGACCGGCTAGAAATCCCAGGCGGAGGAAGCCTGGGAACGTGGGGTTCGGCAGGGCACCTGGAGCGCCCCCCTACTCACGGGGAACCCCTTTTTGGGATTCCGGAGTGAAGTGGGGTGAGCGGCGCGGTGCTGCGAACTGACTGCTACTTTCACGGAGTGAAGCCGCACAGCCATCGCCGGAGAGCGCTGACTTTTTCCTGTGGACAATTGGATCTAAAACAAGTACCCGTGAGTAGAAACGGAAAATTGGATCAAGAAATATCTTAATTTGACATCGAAGCGGGAAGGTGCAAAACAGGAAGTCCGCCTTCCGCTTTTTGTATATAGACTGAAGCAAAAACCTTGTAATCTAAAGCCTGGAAAGTCGTTAAAAAAGCCTAAATTTCCTTCATTTACGACTACTGAAACCCCCTTGGAAGCAGGAGAAAAGGGGGGGGGACTTTGTGTAACGCCTGCAGGAGAGGGAGTGAAGAAAGATAAGTTTCCACCGTCTCTAACCTGGGAACGGGGTGTCAGAGACAGAAATTGTTGGAGAGGTTCATTGACTGTGAATGGAATATTTTGACAGATAGCTAAAGAAGAGAAATAAACTGATTCCAATGTTGCCTTTTGCATTCTAAAGAAACAAAATATCTGAAAAAATGAAAGTAATTTTTCTTTGTTGGACTTGCCTTAAAAAGATGGATACAAATAGAAATTGTCTCCTCTAGAGGGAGCTTGCTAAATTGTTGCTGCAGCCACAGCTGTGAGATTAAGATCTTGGGATTAGTCCTTCTGACCTTGACTGAATATGAGCTGGAAGGAAGTTTTGGTGCTTGCTCTATGTAAGACAAGTGCTTTGTTGGAACAGATGCATGAGAAGATGGATCTGATGAATGAGAAAATGGATTTGATGACTGTTGTGGCCAATAACTGTGGACAATTAGTGAATAGTGATACAGAAATCATCCAGGGTCCAACTCAGGAACCTGTATTGATTGGGCAAGTGCAGAAGACAATGGAGGAGGCTGCGGTTGCACCTCAAATAATACAAATGGAGAGGCCCAAGGCCCCACAGGAGCATAAGCCGTTGTTTTTGAAGATTGAAGTTGGAGTGGGCCAGGGGGAGTCTGGAGCTGAGGAGGCTTTTGACTTTGGAGAGACTTTGAAATATGCTCGCAAATATTTTTTGGATTATATTGATGACTGTGGGGAGTGGGACTGTGGGGAATGGGCTGATTTGATGAAGGGAGACGGAGATAACTTTGGGTTGGAACCCCCCAGAGACCTACTCCTCAACGAGAAAGGAAAGAAATTAAGAAAGAGACCAACAAAAGACAAGGAAAAGTGCAAGTATAAACAAGAAGAAGAAGATCTGCAGAAGGGACATGGAAGAGACTTAAGGGCCTCGGACATAAGGCTTCCAGGTTGATGGACTAGATGGAATGGACAGTAAGGACTGACACGACCAGGAAGAAGAGACATTGGATGAAGATTGGAAGAAAATTTATAAAGAAAACTTTTTATTTAGGGAATTAGCCAAAAATTAATGAATATTAGGGAAAATGTTGGAATGAAACTATATGACTCTAGCAGAAATGATATCAGGGGTTATGTATAAATGAGTATTAAGTTTCAAGCTTTAAGGTATTTTATGGTAAGATAAGGTTAAATAAGTTAAGGTAATTGGAATAACAGAATATGGGGAAAGATGGAAAGGATCTGTCGAGTTAATCAATAGGTTAAATTGTTAAGATAAATTATTTAATAAAAATTGAGAAAGATGGAAAGAATTTGCTGAAATAACTAATTAAACTAGAATACAAAAAGGGAGGTGTGAGGAGGTCAATGAAACAAGCAAATGGAAAGTTTATGGGATTTGTGTCTTTCTTTTTTCCCTTTTTTTTTACATATTTATATATATATATTTATTATTTACTGTATTGATGTATTGGTTTTTATGTTTTGCGTTTTTTTCTTCTTTTTATGTATTGTAGTGTTGTCTTTTATTTTTTATTTTTTTCTGTAATTCTGAAATTATTAATAAATATTATTTAAAAAAAATAAAAAATAAAACTGGAAATTCCAGTAATTGAACCTGGAACCCCTTACAATAACTATGCATTTCATGACCCAGCACTTGGTTAATGCTTTTCTCTTTTAAGTTATCTTAAAATGCCAACACCCACCTTAAAGATGCATTAGATAAGGAGTTAGCAATAGAAGAAGAGTTTGGATTTGATATCCCGCTTTATCACTACCCTAAGGAGTCTCAAAGCGGCTAACATTCTCCTTTCCCTTCCTCCCCCACAACAAACACTCTGAGAGGTGAGTGAGGCTGAGAGACTTCAGAGAAGTGTGACTGGCCCAAGGTCACCCAGCAGCTGCATGTGGAGGAGCGGGGAATCAAACCCGGTTCACCAGATTACGAGTCCACCGCTCTTAACCACTACACCACAGTAGAAGATAAAACCAAACTTAGGTTTGAGGGGTGAAAAAAAAATTCCTTTCTGGGCAACCTTTAGGGGGTCACATGCAAAACTAGGCCAAGCAAGCCATATAAACGTTACCTTTGGACACTAGTTTCTGCACATATTCACACACCCTTTTCTATCTTCTGTCCTGGCAAGCATTTATTACGGTTGCTCACTGGGGCAAGAAGGTTTGAGCATATTATACCAATCCTGGCCCGACTGCACTGGCTGCGAATTAGCTCCTGGACCCAGTTCAAAGTGCTAGTCGTTACCTATAAAGCCTTTAATGGCTCAGGAACGCAGTAGCTCAAGGACTGTTGCTCTCCCTACGAACCTACCCAGACCCTGGGATCATCCTCTGAGGTCCTTCTTCATGTGCCTCCTCCATGTGAGGTCTGGAGGGTGGCAACACGAGAACGGGCCTTTTCTGCAGTGGCTTCCCATTTGTGGACTCCTCTCCCCAGGGAAGCTTGCTTGGCACCTTCATTATACACCTTTAGGTACCAGGCAAAAACATTCATCTTCAACCAGGCCTTTGGCTGATTAATATCTGGTACAGTCAAATCTCGGTTTTTGAAAGTCTTGGCTGCTGAATGCTTCGGACGCCGGACGCCGAAAACCCGGAAGAGAATGCTTCCATTTTCGAACGCACCTTGGAAGTCGAATGGCTTTCAAGTTGCGTTTCTCCATTTTTCTCAATAGAATTTGCTGACAGCCCTTTGATCCTCAGTTTTCGGACGTTTCGGAAGTCGAACGGACTTCGGGAATGGATTACGTTAGAAAGCCAAGGTTCCACTGTACTCTTTTAATTGTCTTGTGGGAGGGGGTGGGCATGAAGGGGTCATTGGCTTCTTTTTCCTGTTTTATTATGGATTTTGTGTCTTTTATCTTGAATGTTTATGTTCTGAACGACCCTGAGATCTACGGATTAAGTGTGGTATACAAATTTAATATAATAATAATAATATCAACAATATTTTAAGAATAGCTACAAAATGTAGCTTGGGGGAAATCCCAAGGACCAAATAACAGAGGCCTGGAATGCTGTGTGAAAGCACTGTGTCTGTAAGTGCTTCCAGATGAAAGAGTACGTAAAAAAATCTTACACAGGGAAGCTGTTTTGGTGGTATCTCCTTGTCAAAAAATATATGCACCCGAATCCTTTGCTGTAACTCATTGTTCAAAAGCAAACATGGTCCAGCAGCCCTTTTCCTTAACATGCCCAAGATAACTTTTCAATCAACCAACCTCGGCTTTTATGTGGTTAAATCCATTCTGCGCATAACTTTGTACATGGAAGAGACTAACAAGAACCACATTGCGAAACACAATATCCTAAGTGAGCTTTTCTGCACAAATTGAGATGAACAAGGAAATACACTCGACAAATATGGAAAGCTCCGTAAGTGCATAACAGTGAGATTTGCATCTCATGTCTGTGTCAAATTAGAAAACATTTAAATGAATGTAAAGTCTTCCTGCACAATCATGCCAGATGCTAGTTCAAATGAAGTCAATGCCATCTACTTCCCCCCCTGTAACAACATGAGAAGGCTGACATTGCAGTCAGTCTCTTTAGTGTCAGAAGGCTGATGTGACAGCTTCTCTTACTTAGAATAATAGAGGTAGGGAACAAATGGACACTTCACCCACTTCGCTGCACAAAGGCAAGGCCAAGCAGCACTCAATCAAGACTATGTAGAGCTACAAACAGAGAGCAGGAACACTGTACAGGAGCAGTGCACTTGGAAAATACGGAATGGCAAATATGTAACTTCAAATGACAGGAGAATCAAGCCATACACTACAGGAAATGACAACGCTCCATCATTTTTCAACAATGGTCTGATCAGGACTGGGAGCATGGATTCTTTCCCAATATAAAATATAGAGATGAGACAGAGCCTGGACTTGAACAAAATGTATGCACACTGAAGGCCATGTGATTAAACAGAAG